CCAAACAGCTGAGGGAGTGATTCTGATTGCTTTTGTTCTGATGTGTTTACAAGTGAGTGTGGTGGTGTAAGCTGCAGCTGTCATGCATGGAAAATACACTAATTTAGGCTGCAGGTATGATGTAATATGTAGAAGTGAAATGTGAGTGTAGATATATGTAAATGAGTGTATATGTAAATGAGTGTGTACTGTACTGAGGGTGTCTGTGTAGCTTGAGGGTTGTAATTGGGTTTGGTGATATGTAATGATGGGTGAAAGCCTTGTGATATGTTGTCCAGTGTTGGGTAAGAGTTGATCCAGGTGTGTTCCAGTGACGCCTCCGTGGTGACCAAGGGTGAATTTATCTGTAGAGTCCAGTTCTTGAGCCGTATGGTGTGAATTCTGAGAGTGATTGGGTGATAATATGAAGAAATATATCTATAAGAAAAGAAAAGGAAAAAAACTTTGAATTTTCACATTTTTGACTACCACAGCCTCCCCCAACTTATTGTCTGTCCCCAGACAATTTACCAGGAAAAAATGGGAAGAAAATGTAGAAAGAGTTAATTTTTAACATTAAATGAGGTGAAAAGTATAGCGGGTATTTGGAGGAAAAGATGGGGAAAAAATGAGTGTGGCTGGAAAAAGAGTGTGATAGCCTCCCTCAACTTTGCAGTGAAGCCAAGCTGGTGTAGCCGTATTTGTGATTTTTAAACTTAAACTTAATTTTTACAGCTGATTTAACAGGGTCTCCCCTGTGAATGTTAGCCACAGAGTCCCTGTGTACCCCCCTTCTGCCCAAAGTGCACAGGTGGGGGGGCATTTTTATTTATTTTTATTATTTGATTATTTTTATTTTTTTTCTACATACAAATTTTGATTTTGCTGCGCGCTGTGCGCAGCTGCGCAGCTGCGCAGCATTGGACGTCTGGATGATCTTGCTGTTGACGTGGAGTAGCCTGGATTACCTGCAAAGCCCCTTGGGAGGGGCCCAAGGGGTGTTCTGAGCCGTCGGGGTCGAGTGTTGATTCGGGGGTCGCGCGAGGTTGAGAGAAAGCTGCGGCCGCAGCGTAGAGTGTTGAGCCGTTGGTGCTCTATTCCGTTTACACCGTTCCGATCCGAGTTCACGCATCCGACAGCCAACTTCAATTCCAATCAGTACCGCCAACATCCTCGACCGACTACGGCTTCCAATTTCTTCCGCGGTCTTCGATCGGATTTGCGATGCATCGATGACAGGTAAGTGACTTTGTTTCTTCTCAATTTTTCCATTAATGCTGAGTCCTGCCTTTCTATTGGTCAGGACTCGTCGTTTTACTTCGCTTTTCTTCCACCCGCCGAATCCAGCACGGTGATTTGTCAGGATTGGCTCACAGTGGGGCGCAGCGTGTAGCGTAGGTTGATCGGAGCCGTCAGGTGAGCTAGTTTTCTCTTGCTCGTCAGTTGTTGCTGTGTACTTTTTGGAGAACATAAATAAAGGGGTCGAGTAGACCGCTTTCATCCCCCCTCATCATTGTCATGCTCCTCTTCTGATTAGAATCTGGTCCGTTATACTTGAACCGCAGTTAAACGACGTCGTCACACTTTCGCCGGTATCCAAAAAAAAGAATTGCCCAATCGTTCGATTAACCGTCCTTGCATCGACTGCAGTGATCCAGCCTCAAGTGGTATTCAAGCGGGTCCAGGCTTGGTCGTGATTGCTTCTCCTGAACTCGCTAATCGTTTCTGCTCCTGATTTTGATTTGATCCGTGGTGTGTAGGAGCCCCTGTCCGTCAGATTTGAACCACAAACGAACAAGGCTGTGCTCGTTGTATCAGTCCTGCCCCAACAGGGTTCCAAGCCGGTTCAGGCCTTCCGAATCGAATCGCAGGTACGTTTATCATTGTCGTCTTTAAAGTTGGCTTGATTAGCAAGCCGCCAACAGAGAATTGTTTTCAGCTTGATTGAATCTGATACCAGTAGTCGGCTGAGGTGTTGAGTGAGTGTTTCCTGTGGTTTGTTTGGGATCAGATTGAAAAGTAAATATATATAAAAATTGAAAAAAAAATTGATGTTATCCACTATGTGAATGCAAGAGCCCCTCCCCCAACTTAACAGGTTGTCCTCAACCTTTGAGTGAGTGATGCTGGTGAATTGAGTGGGTAAGTGAGGTGAGAGAATTGAAAGGTATTGTGAAAAGAGAAATAACAAAGGGATGTGAGGATTGAAGGAGTCTCTGGGGTAAGAAATGAAGAGTTATCAAGATGGGGTGGTGGGAATGAAGGTAAGGGAAGTGGAAAAAAAAGGAGAAGGCAAGAGGGAAATAAGAGATTTAATATGATAATGGGGTAAAGAGTGGTGTGTGAATAGAGGTCAAGCTAGTTGGATGATTTTTAAAGGAGTGTCTTGGGTGAGAATTGTAAGGCTTGTAAGTTCACCAAAGATAGAGGGTTAATAGTGGTGCAAGGGAGAAAGGTAAAATAAATAAACAAAAGGTAAGAATATGAGAGGATGTCTCATTGAAGTGTGTAAGTGTTGAATTTGTGAGGTAAATAAGAGGTATATGAAGGAGGGTGGTAGTAACGAGTGATGCATAAAGGAATGTAAGTCCTCCCCCCACTTAAAAAAATAATCATCTGCCTGATTTTGAAAGAATTTTGAGCTAAAGTTTTTTTTTTTTTTTTTTTGAAATTTGATCTGTGTTGTGAACAGTTTAGTCTCATGCCCAGGAGGTATGATTATTCTGATGCCACTGAGGAGTGTTCTTCCGAGTTGTCTTCTGAAGCATCTTCCTGGTCCGGGTCCTCATCTTCTTGAATATCATGAAAGTCACGTCCTCGTGGGTAAAACCGTTTGATGTGTGAGGCAGCATAAGCCCTTTTCAATTCCACTCCGTCCAGTTCTTCTAGAATATAAGAGCCTCTAGGAAGTTGTTTCTTGATGCGAAAAGGTCCATTCCAACGGTGAGCAAAAAGTTTCCCCCACTGGTCTTCCAGACTTTTATTGTAAGCCAGAACCAGTTCTCCGGGGTCCAGAGGATTCCTGAGTCTTGCTGCCATTCGCCGGTCCCAGTATCTGACTGACGATTCTTGAGTTTTCATTAGTTTTTCATGGGCCAGTGTTAAGATCTCGTCCCTTCGTTCCAGTTGCTTTGTTCGAGCCTCAAGCAGTTCTTCAGTTGTGTTCACTTCTGTCCAGTCAATTCCAAGATAGGTGTCCATCTCAATATCCACTGGTAAAACCGCTTTCTTCCCAAAGACAATCTCATACGGTGAGTATCCAGTTGATCTTTTTGTTGAAATTCTGTCAGAAAAAAGTACTAATGGTAAATATTCTCTCCATTTTCCGCCGGATTCGCCACACATCTTGATCAGTGTATCTTTGATTGGCCGGTGACCTTGTTCAATCATTCCATTTGCCTCGGGATAGTATGGTGTCGGTGGTCGCAGAGTGGCACCAATCTTTTCCACAGCTTTGATAAATTCACTCTTAAATTCTGGTCCATTGTCAGCAGTTACAGTCCTAATTGAACCATATCTGTAGACCCATTCTTCCAAAAGAAATTTACTGATATTAGCTGCAGATAATTTTACCAAGGGTGCTGCCTCTACCCATCCCAATAAGTCGTCACGTGCCACCAGCAGGTATTTATATCGTCCGGCCTTGATATGACAAACGTCCAACGCTACCCGTCCAAATAGACTACTTTCGCCAGTTGGATTTCGAATTTCTCTGGGCACTAGGGCATCCCTCTTTTGACAAGGTTCACAACTCTGCACCCATAACTTGACCTTCTTTTTCAGGCTGGGCCACCAAAATCGACAAACCAAGCGTTGATATGTTTCCTCAAGTCCCCTGTGGCCAAGATCTTCGTGAAACTTCCTTAATAGTCTGCTTTGGTACGTTATGTTGGAGATGACTAGTTGTGCCATGGGCGTATGTCGTCGCATGAGTCGTCCTTCTTGGATAAAGAAATTGGCTGATTTTCTTCTTAACTTCTGAAAATCCTCTGGGTCCATTCCTTCTGGCTTCTTCAGGGTCCCAAGATATTCCTTAAGGTCCTTCCAAAACCCTGGTGATTCCCATTCCATTAACTTTGTTGATTGTGAGGTTATCGTGTACTGAAAGCATGCTTTGATTACAGGGTCGTCTTCGTCAAAGTCGGCTGCGTCTTCGTAGAATTCCTCCTCATTGTCGCTGATGGGTCGCCTGGATAAAGCATCTGGTAACGTGAAGGTTTTTCCAGGTTTATGTACCATGTCAAATGAGAAAAGATGAATGAACGCCACCCATCTGGTCATTGGTGCATTTGGTAATGATGGAGAATTGATCATCTGAATTAAAGATTGTGCGTCTACTTGAAGCTCGAAGTGTTGGCCCCATAGAAGAGTTTGTAATTTCTTCAGAATCCTGGATACCCCGCAGAGTTCAAGTTTAGGCTGAGAATAAGATGATTCCACAGGTGAAAAAACTATGGATTCGTAGAGAACTGGTCGTGCTAATCCTGTTTCCAGTTCTTCCTGTGATAGTACTGCCCCGGCCGCAATAAAACTAGAATCCACGGCCAAAATAATTAATCCTGCGTCCTTGGAGTAATCTAGCTTTTTAAGGGTGATATCTTCCCCCACTATTTGCTTTAGCTTGTGAAAGGCATTGTCACATTCTTGGTTCCATTCCCATTCAGAGTCCTTCCTTGTGAGTCTTCTGAGAGGTGCGGCAATTTCGGAAAGGTTTTTGATGAAAATTCTGACGTAAACTAGTATTCCCATGAATCCTCGTAATTCCGTAAGTGAGTTTGGAGTTGGCCAGGTTGTGATCTTGTTCTTTTTCTGAGCTGAAACCCGCCGTCCTTCTTTACAGACCACGTGACCTACAATATCCAGAGCTGGGACACAGCAGGCAAACTTTTTCCCGGAGATAGTGAGTCCAGCTTCTTCAATCCTGAATAATACTCGTTCCAGTGTCTGAGCATATTCCCAGATGAACCGCCGAATTCCTGGGTTTTCGTCCAAGCTTTCGTTATCGTAATCTGAGCTTGGTCCTTTGATTCCTCCATCGTCAATGAATACCCCTACGTTGTCAGGTATTTCATCCTGGAGTATCCACATCATTTGCGCCTGATATACTGCTACCGAATTAGTGGCCCCCTGAGGTAAATGTGTGAGTTGAAACCTTCCAAGAGGGGTATCAAAGGTGGTCAGCGGTCGGGATTCTTTTGCTAACTCTCGTTCGTCGTATCCTCCCATGATATCGCCTAATCCGTAGCAAGCACGTCCTGCAAAGGCTTCTACAAATTCTTCAGTTGCTGGAGGAAGGCCTGCGTCTTTAATGGTAACTTTCTTCATTTCTTGTAAGTCATGAACAATTCGTAGCTTTCCATCGTGTTTTGCTACGCAGAATACTGGGCTTGAGTAACTTGATGTTGATTGTTCGTAAAGTCCTGTCCGAATCCTTTCTCGCACTAGTTCCACGTACTCGTTTTTTATTGCCGCTGGTATAGGAATAGGTTTCTTCTGCCAAGGTATGTGTTCCACTACTGGTATGACATAGGGTAATCCATAGGAATGCTTCAATAGTCCACGCTCTTCCATGCAGAATGCTAAGGCCTTTTCGCGTAAAACAATCAGATGTTTGAATAGCTTGAGTTCTTCTTTCCAGAGCCATCCTTCTGGTCCAAAATTAACAACCTTTAACCGTGCTTCAGTGATTTTATTTGTAGGTGCAAATTCCGGTGGATGTGGCGTCAGCGGAGTTTTATACGGATCTCGAGACAGAGGTGGTCGCTTTAGTGGTGGATTTAGTAGTTGTGGAAGTGGTTGATTAATCGGTCGAACTTTCTTCCCAACTGGTTTGTACTTTGTCATGCACCACAAGTTCCCTTCCTTCCAATTCTGACATAAGTGCTTCTGGAACGTCCAGCCAAGTCCTATTCCCAACAGGTCGTGGATATTCTCGGTCTGTCCTGTTTGCGTCACTGATTTGTTTGTTATTTGTTTGGCCAGATTGGATCGTATTACTGCTCCTCCGTATTGTGAGCAGATGAGTTCTTCTTCCCGTTTTTTCTCGTTTTTGTGTTCCTTTTTACCTGTTTTACATAATCTTAAAATTGAGTCTGAGAGTTCAGTGAAAATTACCTGTGAAAAAAAATGCATCAGCTTAAAAAATGTTTTTGTTAGTTTTGTAGTTTCTTGTAGGATAATAAGAATAAAAAATAATAGCCAGTCAAAGAACACCGGCGCCCAGAATTCAACTCTCTTGACTAGCTTAAGTGAGTTATTCCTCAATTGGACGCCGGAATTCATAAAAAAGGCTGCATGATACCCTTTTTGAACATTCGATCCTCGTCGTTTGGTGGTATATTGTTGTCCTGTAGCTTTGTGCTGTTGGTACTGAGATCTTTCCTGTTGTTCCAGCCTCTTCCTTGGCCGGTTCTTGCTAAAGGTAATGATACTCTTCGTCCCTTTGTTCCTTGGAAAGACAGAGTTTCACCGTTCTCGTGATATTCTAGAGTGCATCCGTAGTCGAATAAGAATGGTCGTCCCAAAATACAGTCCTGAGCCTTAGGTGAAACAAACAGATGTGCTGGTCCGGAGAATCTTCCAATTCCAATTGGGCAATTTTCAACTACTCCATTTAAGTCACATCTTGCTCCCCCAACTCCTTTCATTGGTATATCTACTTGTACTAGTTCCAAATCCAGGTCTTCTGCTACTGATCGAGGCATAACGTTTACCATGGATCCGGAGTCTACCATAAATTCCACGTTAGCTCCCCCAACTTCGGCTGTTACGTATCCTAGGGCGCAGCTGTAGTAGCAAGGGTCCGAGGGGTCTTCTATTTCTGGAGTGGTCATAGCTGCTGAAACTTTGGTGGCTTCTGTAGTGATATAGGTTGCGCTGCTCTTTCCTGGGAGTCGATTCTGAAGCTTTGCAATTATTTGTTCCGTATAAATCGGTGAGATAGCGGTGAGTTGAGCAAAAGTTTTTGGAATCTTGAGATGGTCCAACTCTTGCAACAGGGCTTCTTCTGGTGTCGCAGCCTTATTTTTGTTAACTGGCTTCTCTTTGCTCCATACTTTCTCTACCACAGGTGTTTTTGGTGCTCCATCCATAATATCAGCAATCTCGTCTTCTTGATCAACGTCCATTGCGTCCTTTTCTGGTTCTTGAATCCGAACGCTGCGTCTTCCTCGTTGGGCCTCAGATCAAGTAATTGCGTGATTGGCTAGAAAATTATCTGCTCCTAGTTGCGGTGGATCCCAATCAATAGTTTGAGCTGAGGTTTTCATAGTAGTGGGTACGTGAGCTTCGCCTGTTCTACAAGATTCTGCTAGTTTTCTTGCCGCCTCTTGCATTTTGGGATCTGCGGATGCTGTCGCCACTACGGTCCTGATGGGTCTTGATGGGTTCCAAGGTATATGTTGACCATCTGGTAGATACCAGTCTCTTCCAGTGCGCTTGACTAATCCTAGTTCCTCATCTTGTGCTAGTTCGGGGCATTGGTAGGTCGCATGTCCCTCTCTCTTGCAATAGTAGCAAGATTGAGTCTCATATAGAGGTGTTGAAGGTTTAGCGTTTCCCCGCGAGAATTCTGATTTTTCATTGGATCCAGATTGATTGTATGAAACCGGTATTATGCTTTTCAATTGGGATTTGAGTGAAGCAATTTCTCGAGCTATCTCGTCTACCTGTTTATCCATGGCTTGGCCCGTAGGTGCTTCTGCAATCATTTGATCTCTTCGTTGGCTGTTCCCCTTCTGAGTGTTCAGCTTATTCTGCATTAATTGATTAGCTTCGCCAAATCCTGAAATGTTGAAATAACCAGGTTCCACGATTCGTACTTCCAGAATTGCCGCTTCAACCAAGTCTGCCCAGCGTGGCGGTAAGTTACTTCCATCCGGTCCTTTTGGAAGTAATTCGTAACTAATTAATGTGCGCTTGATATTCATTTGACTTTCCCGAGAGAATGCACTCAAGAAGAGTATCAATGCGTCCGACTTCTTGTGAATTTGCTTGTTGGTCACTAAGTATTTAAGGATAGTGGTGAATTTTCCTAAGTAAGATTTGAATTCCCGATGATCCTTGATTCCGCCATTTATGCCGTATTCTTTGGTGATATCCACTAGGTCATTGGTTGTGTACAAGATCGTATTATCCAACTCTCCCCAGGTTTCAACCATTTCCTTTCGTAATTTGTTCCATTCACAGGTCTCGAACCCATCCATGGCTTCCAGTTGGATCTTGAGCTCCTCGGTTTTCATGAATTGGCCAATCTGCAATGCTTTATCGTAGTCCGTGGCATGGAATGCTCTTGCCGCTCTTTCATATCGCATCAGGAATTTTCCGAAGTTTTCGCCATCGTAAAAAAGTCCTGGTTCTTTGATAATCTTTGGAGCAACTTGAGGGATTGGTTGTTGATTTTCCGGTTGTGGCTGTTGTTGTTGTTGTTGTTGTCGATTATACACTGGCTCATCTGCATTCTGGGTGTTGTGAAGCCCATATCCAGACAGCGGAGGTAAGTTATGTGCTTGAGGCGTGGGATCACCTGCATCTGAGTCTTCTTCTGTTGGATCCCGTATTTCGCTTGCTTTACCCTTTCCTTTATCCTTTGGTGGTGGCAAGATATTTTCCGAATTCCAACTAAAAGATGATCCTGAAGGTCGGTCTTGAAATCGGTTCCTAAAAGGGGTTGATGGTCCAAATCCGTCTTCCAAATGTGGTGTACTGAATGGTAGACTCATGTTGATTTTGATTGATTTTCCTAGGTTTACTTCCTCGACGTTCCTTCGATACCTAAACAAACGGCTGCTCTGAAAAAGAAACAAATAAAACTTTGGTCGCTGGTTTCTCTACCAGGGCAAGCTTATGGCTTTCTTTTAAATAATAGATCAGTTAAATACTGGGAATTTCTTCTTTTACAGAACCTACTTATCCAAATCCTTTGGGTACCTTTGCCCTTCTTTTGGTCTATAAGCAGCTGCTTTTTTCGAATATTTCCTGAGTTGTTGTTGAACAGTATCCTAGTTATCCAGATCCTTCGATAATCTTCCTTCTTCTGGTTAATAACTGGCTGTCTTCTTCGATTCCTCGTTTCAGTCGATTCCTACACTTTCTTTTCAGAGGTTGGTCGGTGGTGTCGTTGAATTGTTTGTTGAAGTTTGACTAGTTGATCAACAGAATAACTGAATATGCCGCTGAGTAGTCGCAAATATGGTTGATAAATTTGATCCGGTTCCCGCTGAAGTTAGTGATCCTTCGACGATTCCTTCTTGTTATTTGTTGAAATTCGATTACTTGATGTATATCACACAAGTTTTATCCTATCACGTTGGGGACTCCCTTGTAAGACTCAAAAAGTGGTTGTAAGACCCTTTTTGCTGAATTGAGAAGGGGATGATGGAGTGAAATCTCTGCCCTTCTATACTATCAGATAACAAGACCCACCAAGCTTAGCTTGGCAAGCTTTAATCAAGTGATAGGGTAAAGTTCAGGAATGAGTTGTGTGATGAAGAGTGTTGATTTGGTGTTTGGTTGGCGCTTTAAAGTGTTTGTGTGAAGGTGGTCAAATATTGCTTGAGTGTTACTTGACTGAGGATTAAACAACTGGGAGGAGAGCCTCCTTATATATACAACAGTGAGGGAATTTAGCTCCAGGGCAGCCAGTAATGAGTGATTTTGGCTGGCCTGGGCTATTACATGAGGTATTTTAGCTACATACAAAATTTGAATGAGTGAATGTGATTGGTCAGACATGTACAAGAGTTTAAGTGGGAAGCCAAACAGCTGAAAGAGTGATTCTGATTGGTCAGGTTCTGATGTGTTTACAAGTGAGTGTGGTGGTGTAAGCTGCAGCTGTCATGCATGGAAAATACACTAATTTAGGCTGCAGGTATGATGTAATATGTAGAAGTGAAATGTAAAGAGTGTAGATGTATGTAAATGAGTGTATATGTAAATGAGTGTGTACTGTACTGAGGGTGTCTGTGTAGCTTGAGGGTTGTAATTGGGTTTGGTGATATGTAATGATGGGTGAAAGCCTTGTGATATGTTGTCCAGTGTTGGGTAAGAGTTGATCCAGGTGTGTTCCAGTGACGCCTCCGTGGTGACCAAGGGTGAATTTATCTGTAGAGTCCAGTTCTTGAGCCGTATGGTGTGAATTCTGAGAGTGATTGGGTGATAATATGAAGAAATATATATATAAGAAAAGAAAAGGAAAAAAACTTTGAATTTTCACATTTTTGACTACCACACCGTTTTTTCGCCAACGACTCCCAACGACCGTCAGCGGACGTCCATTGGGAGTCGTCTTCTAAAGTATGGGCGGATTCTGGGAGTCGTCCGCCCAATTTCATTTTATTTTTATTTATTTTATTTATTATTTTTTTTGGGAGTCGACTCCCCAAACCACCCCTCATGTATGAGGGGGTTTGGGAGTCGCTCCCTCCCACTTGATCGTAAGGAACCCCTTCCGGTCAATGAGGTTTAGCTTCCTCATCGACCGGAGGAGAGTCCTTCCGGTCAATGAAACCCTCGCTGCTACCCTATCTTTGGTCAACCCGGCCCACGGTACCATTCACGGGGCGCCGCTGTCACCCTGAGCGACAACATAGTGAATGTCGCTACCGACTGTATATCAAGTTGGAGTCGATAAATAGG